CATGCTCTCTTCGCCGTCATCCGGCGCCGGGGTGTTTTAACTTTAAGTGCCGGTAACACTTAGGGCGTTTTCACACCTAAAAGTCCGGACCAAGGTCTGGACCAGCGTTCGTGTTTAATTACATTGTATACATTTGATCCCGTTATTTTCGCTTTCACATAGTAATTTTGCTAGCGCACTAAAGAACTTTCCGTGACATACCTACGGCGTGTTGTTTTTTGTAATAATTGATTCATTCTAACACCTAAGGTAGTACACTATAGACCCCTTCAATGTTTGTAAACATCGAACGCCTAGGTTGGGTGCGCGCGCAGCATGGGGTCAGAAAAACGTCGCGGCTAATAGACTGGCATATTGTGTCAAGGTATTCACGGTCTTTGTCACCACAGGACCGGGAACAGTACCATAATAAACTTGTTTTAGCTAATGGCCAATTGTCTGCCTGACCCCGAGCTCCTAACAGAATGGGTAGACAACGTTAGCAAGCGGCCAGATATTCACTGGCCCGCCATATACAAAAACTTAAAGTCTACAAATCGCTAGACGCTTATAATTACGTAGTCTGTGGGCATGTCCAGACGATTTTATATAGCGATATAGGCGATGACTTTTGTGTGTTAAAAGCGGAGGTTTTACCGAGCCAGCACCAAGGGAAAAACACCTCTATGTACCAAGCCTGGGTTGTGATCAACAAGCGGGAAGGCTTCTTCTTCTTTAGTTCTTTAGTGCGCTAGCAAAATTACTATGTGAAACCGAAAATAACGGGCCTGCGTGGCAGAGTAAGTATTTATCATTGGAGACGGATGCACTGTAGACTGATTTCCTTGACTTGATGGGTTTATTTCCATAGAAAACCCTGTTGCACTAATACATTCCATATACACCTACTATTAAACTTCATTGCACTTGCTCTCAGTTCAACATAACATAGCATAATCTAGCCCAGTCGCTGCTAGCTTCCCTCTTCTCTGCTCTGCGTCAATAACAAGTGTAGCCTCCACACAATACCAGTCTGCTTTTCATTTCAGACAGAGCCAGTTAATCCATCATTCGTTAGTTTTCCTCGTTAATCCATCATTCTTTCGTGTGAGAAAGGTGTCCTTGCGCTGTCACAACTACTAATCACTTGTACCCTGCATCCATCACCTTTCCTCCAGGGTAGCTAACTTACTGCTAAACTAAACTTGTGTCTGTCATTTTACCAGTTCTTGTGGAGATGCGTGGAAATCGTGTCAGTGCGTGATGAGGTCAAAGGAAAAAATAAATAAATACTCTGACATGTCATTAAGACACATAACACACGGTTAGAACAGCCCACGACCCAACAAGTAGGCATTCTTGGTGATAAACTCTCTGGTTTCAATGGGACAACACACAATTCAACGGGATAGAATGACCTTTCTGACCCCGACAGGTGCGAACCCTGAATTTTCCTGTGACGTGAACCGTGAAGGGCAGCAGGTGGTGCTCTAGTGCTGCTGTTGATCCATAAGGAGACTGTTGCTACAAGCTCTGCACATGCGCAGCTCGGAAATAAACAAGCTCTGGCATGAGCAAGACGCTAACTGTCATCATCTCTCTGACAATCCACAGGTACTGAAAAATATTTTTTCTATCTTAAGCTTGAATCGGTATAATATGTGAACGCATCATAAATTGTTTTGTAATGTGTAACATGATTTGAGAAGTGGGTTGAGTGTAATTAGTTTGGTTTTGTAGATGATTGTTCAGACGAGTGTTGTCATGCTTTGTAGTTTGGTTATGAACTTTTTTACACAGTAGTTTTCTAAGTGCAAATTTACTGACATTAGCATACTGTAACAAGAGGAAAGATGTTTTAAATGGTGTTTAGAGTATTAGTCAGCCGCAGTGTGTAAACTGTGATGAGAAAGATTTCATGTTAAAGTTAGTTTCACTTTGTGTGCAAGCGCGGGAAAAAGAGTATAAGAATGTTGGGAAAGGCTTTGTGTATGTTACGTTAGTGCTAAATGCTTGTTAGCAGGATTGTATATGTTAATTAATGAGTGAATGAAGGTTATAGAATAATTGTGTCTTTTAAGTTAGTATTTTGATACATATTAGTATTTTAAGTTAAGCCAATTTTGTTATTTGTAACGTGTTACCCTTATTTTGAATTAATTTAAACTTGTTTTAATTTAGACAAAAGGTTTTATATTATTTATTGTAGTTACATCATTTGTTGTTTAGTTTGTGGAATATTTTGGTATGATTTTGACATGCACTTAAATCAGAAAGTTAGAAATGTGACTGGTAATTGTTTGTGAATGTGTCAGAAATAAACAAGCTCTGGCATGAGCAAGACGCTCACTTTGGTCATCTCTCTGTCAATCCACAGTTTATATTGGCTACACAGTGCTCCCTAGCCTGTGTAATCCTTGCTGCTGGTCCAGATTTCCCCTAGGTCTGGTGCCGGTAACATTAAATTGTGGGAGGGGAAATTAAGCTTCTGCTTGGACAGGGTAATGACTGACTATACTGTGTTGTTAAGGGTAAAACATGTCAACTTTGATTGTGTTTAGAATGTCATGAGTTGATAACAATGACTTTACTCACCTTGTAGAGGACACTGGATCCAATGTCTCCTGCCTGAGCCACTTCAGGGCCTAAACATGAGACAGAAGTAGTTCATGTTAAATTAGAGGGGCACACATGGTAAGATAACATGTTAGAAAAAAAGACTTGAACATCACCTTCCATTTTACAGATCTTTTTTTGAAGGTTTTCTAGTATTCCTGTGAGTCCGTCATAGTTCTTAATTTTGAAAGCATTTTTGTCTTTTGGTTCTGAAGCAAAGGCCCTGAATTTACCCAGATTAGCATCTTTGACCTGAAACCAAAATGCTGCGGGAAATTATGAAGTACCTCCAAATCTAATGGGGCCAATGGATCTATTTTCCAGAAGCAATATCTAATTTTCCTAAACACTGAATGTTTCTGTCAGCTGGATCGAGACCTGATTTATTTCTTGTTCAGAATGAGATGTGGTTAGGTTGCTTTTCATGGTGGAAAGGGTGGGGAAAAAGTTGGGTAGAGGGTCATTTGGGGAAGCTTTTAAGAACAGTACAGCTAAATTATACAATAAAAGCATAAATGGAATAACATTGTGCCAGTAGGGATATATCAATGTATTACTGACCTAAACCAGTGAGTCTCTCTCCTCTCTCTCTCTCTCTCTCTCTCTCTCTCTCTCTCTCTCTCTCTCTCTCTCTCTCTCTCTCACTCACACACAAACAAACACACACGTATCATATCACAGCTTACCGCAATGACAAAGCGAATTATGCTTTTGTCATCATATATAGTGAGGACAAACTAATAAAAAAATAAATCAATAAATAATGGTAATAATATTTTAAACATTATTGTATTCCAAGACAAGGACAAGGACAACATGTCCTCCAACCAGAGTTTGTTTACACTCTCTAAATGTGTTTTACCTTGGAAATCAGGTGTGAAAGAGGAGATCTGCTGAAGATTATCTGGCATATTGTAACATACTTTACTCTGGCTTGAGTTCTCATAACAGTCATGGATGACACTTGGACTGCAAACCTAGATCAGATCATAAATGATGAAAGAAATTTGATTCATCTCATTGAACTTAAATTCCACAGACAAACCATAGTTTTGATTTGATCTCACTTATTGAGCTTTGTGATTTTCTTACAGTGAATTGGGAGCGTCTGGAGTCTTCAGCTATAGACAGGCCAAAGTGGTTGATGGGTATTGTTGTATCTGTGAGAGAAATGTCTGTGACAATAGCATCTGATTAGTACTATTCATAATACAAATACCATCATTTGGAAACGTGACTTTCCTGCACATACAGTTTGTCATCCATCTGTATTTCAACATTGTTGGAAACTGTAGCTTTTTATGTTTTAATTGTGTAATATTAATGTTACAAAACATATTTATGTACCTGGAATAATGAGGCACTGGTGGGTTTGGTTTGTATCAGATTTGCATGTTTCTTCGGATCCCTGTAGCTGCTGGGGTCCAGTGAGTATTCTGTGGATGAGTTCAACAAACATGGTAATAGTAATGGACTCCATGTACACCAGGGCCTGAACAATGTATATGCACAAAAACCACATATGTTATGTGATGATATGTTGCAGTTAATGATCTGTTCAATTTATCCTCAAGTGAAGCACTTTGTAAAGTCTATTTTAAGATGATGATTTACAGGTACATGTAATGGATTAATGGTACAGGCATTATGTCAGGTGGGCAATGACGTCCAGATGCCTGGCCATTTTCATGTGGTCACATGGAGGCCACAGAAGGAGACAGGGTCGTCATGACTCAGCTGCCCAGCACCCCCGAAACTCAGCTGCCCAGCACCCCAGAAACTCAGCTACTCAGTACCACAGAGACTCAGCTACTCAGTACCACAGAGACTCAGCTACTCAGTACCACAGAGACTCAGCTACTCAGTACCACAGAGACTCAGCTACTCAGTACCACAGAGACTCAGCTACTCAGTACCCCAGAGACTCAGCTACTCAGTACCACAGAGACTCAGCTACTCAGTACCACAGAGACTCAGCTACTCAGCACCACAGAGACTCAGCTGCCCAGTTTTTTTGCCTTGCTACTGCCTCCTGGGGAGTTCTGCCCTCACCTTCATTTGATCTTCATGCATTTCGCCTGAGATCTTCAGAGCCACTTCTGCCCTACCTCCTGGCCATCCGCCTGAGGTCCACTGTAACCCCGGTGATTCAGCTCCCCTGCCACTTGCCCCTGAGAATATGACCCAACTCTATGGATTGATATATAATTTATGACATCTGATCTTATTGTAAACCGAAGCACGTCGAGTACAAACTAATAGGAACCATGTGTTGAAATGTATGCCATATTGTTGAATGGAATTTTTTCTGTACTACAAAAATAATGAACATCAAGAGTTGATGTGAGTAATAATAGCGGGGTTTTGTAATTACCAGCAAGCCCCCACTGAAACACAGCACTTACCCTTCGTTCCTACCAGAGATGATTTGAAGCACTTTGTTTCTGAAGAAATCTTTTTGATCTGTTGTATAGACGTGGGGGGTTGTTGTATCAATGTTGAAAGCCAAAGATACAGAAATGGCTGCAAATTGTGAAAATAAATGACCACATCCAGCATGTTAGCAAAATTTAATCTAATGTAAAGATTTTGTTAATAAATTGTCATCATTTCAGAACCCTGCTAATGCTAACTAAAAATACAACTACTGGGACACTTTGGTGGTAAAATAAGCTGTCAGTGGCAGCTATAAAAGGTTTTTAAAGCAATACTCTTTCTTTAATTAACTGTGTAAAAAAAAGGGAGTGCTGATATCAGTAATTCCTGGCAGTCATATTGTTCAATAACAAGCCATGGGTGTTGTTTTCGTCACTTCTCTTGTAGTCATTTTGTTATGAATCGAGATGGATTTCGCGATGACCTCCATGTTCTGTGGGTTGGGATTTGGGTTTTTTAGACATCCTGATTGTCGTTTTTATTTTAATTTTGTTTCAGTAAAAAAAAAGATTCATTTAAAATTGATTGCCTTTAATTGATAGTGACAGGGAAGCGGGGAGAGAGAGGGGTGATGACACACAGCAAAGGGCCACAGGTCGGATTCGGTACCCTTTTTTTTGGGTAGAATTAGTTAGTGATGGAGTCCAGAGTGTTAACCCATGATGTGGGTTGGCCTGGGGACATGATTTAGAAAAAACAAAAACAATTTAATAGATGGATCCCCCCCAATACAGTGAGTACTGCCTATGGTGTTGTTCTCAGCGCAAGCTGCTCAACAATTCACCCTCATTCAAGTGTGTATTGTTGCCTGTAGTTACAAATTGTTATGCTAGATAATGTGCTGTGGAGGTTTTAATGTTCCTGTGTGTATGTGACTGGAAGCAAATACCGTGAGTAGTGCCAGGAAGAGATAAGACTCAAGGCCATTGGGACAAAACCACCAGACTTCAGAGCTCTCATTAAACTGCAGGCTCATCAAACCTTGGACCTTGAACTTGTGTTTTTTATTTAGGTTTAGCAACCCCCATTTTGACAGATGATTACACGACAATTGGTTCGTGATGAGTGTAAAACGAAAGGTTAATAATGATAGACTGAAAAAAAAAATACAACAGAGGAGAATTTGGAAGAAAAATAAACACAAAGATCTAACACATATATTACTCATCAATAGTTAGTTTTCAATTATTACAGACTAGAGGTCAAGACACATTTTATATGAAAAAAGCATGTTGAATTAAAAATACTCTGCTCAGGAGGACTTCTTAAATCCTGTCTTGATTTTAGCCCGTAGATCCCCAACAAAGCAACAAATTCAATGTTTCTGACAGACACAGGTTACCACCCTCAACTCCTTCCCTGACACATAAAGCATCCCTTTAGATTTGCTTTTGTAGATATTGTTTTAGATCTTACCAACAGCCATTATGCAGTGGAGCCACACTATGTGATGCATCTTTTTCATTAGTCTTCTCCGGACTAAGGGACTAAATGAAAGTGCTTAAAGGGGAAGGACTGGTCAGAAAAGGGGGAGGGCATTGTAATTTTGTTTACTGACTTATTTGGGGGAGTACTTTTTTTTCTGTATTTATATCCCTGATTCCTTCACTTTAGTACCAACATAAATGTATTGACTGAATTGAGCCAAGTGTAAGTCAGCAACAAAAACAGGATCAGCAATATTGTCCTCAGCCTTGGAGCTACGATTAGACAGAATGAAAGAGAGAGAGAGCCACAAATACACCACACTAAAAGACTGTGTTTGTTCTGGTCACTCTTACACAAACAAAAATATACTTTTTACTCTGTGTCTCAGTGATGGCTGGTGTAACTCCAGAATATTGAATTATTTGGTTAATGTCCAGTATCTAAATGTCCATCCATTTCTTGTTCTTCATCTTCCTCAACCTATTTATAAGTTTCCACTTTCCCTCTTTCTTCCACGAAACCCTCAAAGTTGCCATTGCTTCCAGATCCCGATCCTGATAAAAATGACTAAAAAGTGTCTGTGTCTATAACCATTTTTGACTTTGACCTGCCTACGTGCCTCACCCTGTTGGATTTCTTTGTATCTGGACACATTCAACCTATGTGTGTCATGTCTTCCTCTCTGTTGCCAAAAACCTGAATAATTAAAAAGGAAATTGTCAGTGTATTACTGGATGATATTATACATTGATATGTTATCATTAGGACTTTGTAATGATTGTATAGCCTATTTAATACTGTAGTTAATGCATTTAAAAAGTAAAAAGAATAAAATAAAATTAAATTTATGTTAGGAGTACGCAGCCACACTATTTAAGGGTATATCTAGGCACAGTGGTGCATGTCTGAACCTGTTCAATGCCAGTGTATCTCAGGCAACTAATGACATGGCCAGCATGTTTGAAATGAGCTGCTATGGGGCTTCACCAGTTCTGATGTTCCTGCAGTGCTCACTAATGCCACTGTGCAATGGCACTGATGCTTTGCTAACACACTGTAAGGTTACCCCACCTGACACTAAAGGTAGCCCTGAAAGCTCAGCACACTGCGACTTAAAGGTCTAGTGTATAACATTCTAGAGGATCTATTGGCAGAGAGGGAATATGATATTCACAGGTATGTTTTCATTAGTTTATAATCACCTGAAAATAGGAATTGTTGGGTTTTCATTAGCATAGAATAAGCTGTTTCTTTCCACAGAGGGAGCAGGTTCTCTTCCGTGGAGTCCGCCATGTTTCTACAGTAACCTAAAATGGACAAATTGAACACTGGCTCCAGATAGACTTTCTGTGTTTTTCAGTAGTTTGGCAGCCACCCTGTTTTATCCTACATGTAATGGTTGTAATCTGCAACTTCACCACTAGATGTCACTAATCCTACACACATGCAACAGACAAAACCAAAACTAATTATGAAAACACCCTCAAAGATTGAAGAACACATGTGCAGCATTTAGACAAATGCTGTAAAGTTACAAAACATAAAGGGACAAAGAAATACAGAAATGCTGCAAGTAGCGCAGACAGCAACTGACATATTTTTGCAGCATGTTTTTATATTTGGTTCTGTTTTCTGTATTGTGAAATTGATGTATTTTGTGTAGCTGCAGGCCATTGTAGATATAATGCACATTATTTTGTATGATTTCACATAAAATTAGTTCACGGCCCCAGTTGTTAGTTTCAATCATGATGTTCTTTTGTAAATGATGATCCCATTTTAGTAAAATAGACGATAAACAAGAGTATGCTTTAGGGTCTGGCTATCATGTGATTGACAAGTTGCTGCCACGGCAACCTTAATCAGGATAGAGGCCTAGCAATGTGTATCTATGGCAGTTCCACCCTCTTGTCCAAATATGGTTCTTTCTGGTTCCCATAAACCAATATGGTGACGCCCATAATGCCAAACTGTTATATCCATTACTTTATATATGTCCATAGGCTTCAAGTTTGATTTAATCTGATCTTATTTTAAATGATTTAAATAAGATCTCTGCTGCACCTGTATGACTTGTTTACCAAAAAGTGTACTTATTTTTTTTCCCTCTGGCCTGAAATGTAAAATGTAATTTAGTAATTCATTTAGTAATCCACCCTTGTTAAAAGTACATCAATGTCGTAATCCATCATTGCCATAGTAACACTGACAAAAATAATGTTGACGCATTTTTAAATTAAATTAAAGGCAGAATGGAACTGAGGAGGACTGAAATAAAAACTTGTGCTGTGTTATTTTGTGTCAGAGGTGGACAAACACACAGTTAAATGTAAACTGTGCCAGAAACTATATCAACAATTTGAGAAGGAAACCGAGAGCAGCAACCCTTAACAAAATGTATTATTTAAAAAATTACAATATGGACAACAAGTGTACAAATGTATATAAAAAAACTAGAAGATAATATTGAGATACCTGATGTAATTAGGTCAAAGTGGAACTTAGAACTAGGTGGACAGTTAAAAGAGGAAGACTGGAAAAACACATACAAGTCATACATAAAACAAATTCTATATTATAGTATTATATAGGTATTAGAGGAGTATTCATGGAAAAAATACATAAGATTCTTCATCAAGCCAACAATACAAACAACATTTACAATATCCATTTAATTCATCAAAATGAATACTCACATATATTATTTTTCTGCCTATTATTAGAAATGGTCTTGCAAGTAATTATAACCTCTATTATGTAAATGTTCCAAATTAAACACATATTTGAACCGTAATGTATTATTTAAGACATACCAGCATGTGAACTCAAAAATGGGAGAACTTATACAGGATACTTAGGATTGCGGTTATGAAACCGATAACCAGGGACTTCATTTTCATCAACTTCATCAACCACCTTCATTTAACAACTCAAAGTCAAACGTTTAAACAACATAACAACATTTTTAAAAAAAGGAAAGAAGGATTTATACAATACATCATGAACAGGAATGTTTAATACTGTGGCATAAATGGATTAAATATGTGGATAACAAACAACATTGAATTTTTTGTAAACTCTTGCACTCTTGCAATTAAGAGAAACGAAAAGCTTCTAGAGCTGATTCTCTTCAGGACAAACTCAGTGATTTTTAACATCCATTCATTCCTTCGTCATTACTCACAGTTCTGTGCTTCTATATTGTACGGTTCACCACTGACTGCTGCTTACAAAGACACTATTTTGCAAGATGAATAAACAATGCATCAAATGTGCCACTGCATTTGTTCAAATGATAATAAAAAAAACAGTTAACAAACAGTCAGCTATAATATAAGAGCAATGTGAACTTCTTGCTGAACAAATGCTGTGCAGAAGAGAATCAGAAATATCTAAAGACTATCAAACAGTAATGTACAGTAGCCTATATTACAATATACACACCCATGGGCCATTACTCTTCTTTATCTATATTAACGATTTGTCAAATGCCCACATTTAGGTTTAGTTAGCACTGCAGCCTGATCAGTCACACATCTCATCTTAAATGTTTCACTAGCAGGGGTACCAAACAATAATAACAACAACAAGGCTCTGAAAAAAAGACTTGTTAACTGTTAACAGATTGTCGTATACGAAGGGGAGACTTTAAACCCGGTCCCTGTTGAGTCTCTGCCGTCTGATTTGAATGGCATCTTTTGCTAGTTTTCAACTGTCTTCTGGTCAATGACCAGTTGATATGAATCTGGAGCTAGGGGACAATTAGCTTAGCTTAGCATAAAGAAGGGAAATGGCTAGCCTGTCTTTAAAATCTGCTGAAAATAGACATTCAAAACAAAAACATTTACACTTTGCTTTTTGGGTTTTGATTTTTGTTTAACTCAACTTGCTTTACCTGGGGCCCACTTTTGAAAGGTGACAGGAGGCCAGGAGCCAGTTAATAAACAAATAATTCATTAACAATATGTATCAGAGGAAAAGGAGCGGGAATAAACGTTAGGGTCACTGACGTGGCAGAATAAGACAACTTAAAGGTCGTAATCTTCTCTTTTCTCGCGGTGCTACCAGGCTCATGCCGCACTGAAGCTAGCATGTTTTCCAAGCTCGCATACAGCAATTGTGATTTGGAAAATTAAACACAGTGGTTTAGGATTGGTAGGAGGTGGCAAAACAAAGGTAAATTGGGACACATCCTTGCATTAAACACACAAAACAAACGTGTAATATAGAGTGAGCAGTAGAGCTGCTGGCAGGTGGATTTTATTAGCTTTGGAGAGAGAGCCAGGCTAGCAGGCATTGTTTCCAGTCTTTATGCTAAGCTAATCATCGCCTGGCTCTGGGTTAATATTTAACAGCCATAATATAAATATTGTCATGTAACTATTAGCAAGGAAGTGAATATGTCGAACTATTCCTTCAACAATGTCACTCATTGATGATGACTTCCTGTGTGTTTTGCACGCATTATAACCGGAGCATGATACGTCCGCCCACGCTGATAATGGAAGGTTCGTACTTTACTCTACAGCCGACTGGGTTGGGGCGTTTTCCTCACCCTTCCCAAGAAGATGTTGCTCCTCTGCAGGTTTGCTGGCAGCCTCTGACTGGTTGACTGTCCCGTTGGTGGGGGCAGGGGTTATCCCAGTAGGGGTGCCAGCCTGAATGACAGCTTCCTCCTCCAGTTCTTGAGAATACATTTTCCTCTTAAAGCAACCCAACTTGAGACAGACAAGAAAAATCATTAGATCACCACCCCACTGACACCAATTTTACTGCTGAAAAGCCTTATTTCTATGTTTTAATTCAGTTATGAAGATAGACGTCTGTATTGTATTTCATGGGGTGGGATAGTGGTTTGGATTTGAAAACTGACTCTCACCTTAAACATGATGATTGTGATTATGATCAGAAGCAGCAGTCCCAATACAACACCAGTTACAATGATCACCAGATTATTTGGGGGTATAACAAACTCAACCCGAACTTCTACCTGTTGGCAGAGGAAATAAAAGTTTTATGGAACCTTAGCTTATTTGAATGATGATCTAAAATGTCTTGTAGATAAAAGTGTTTTGGCTGCCAGACTGAGAGAGTGTACCGATTTCATTACTGGATCGTCTTTCCTCGTGGCAGCAGGTTTCTCCTGTTTAAAACCATTTTTATTCTGTGGTTAATTAATATGATAAATCACCGAAAAGCATTCAAAATCTTTGAAATGGCATTACTGTGGTCAAACTTCAACATACCTCATGTTTATGAGAATCCAGCATGTATCGATGATTGTCATACCTAACTTGCATAAAGCTTTTAAATTTAATATCTGCACTGTCTCCAGTATATCGTTTAAGAAAATCAATATTCTGCAAAGCAAGAGCATGTCGATTAATAATATATTCACAACATTCAATGGTAGGCCTCCTTTATATGTGGTGTGTATCCTGTTTATGTGTACATACCTCTGCCTGATGTTTGAGATCCTTAAATTGTACATCTCCTGACAATTGAAACTCAGTGGCTGATTCTTTGTCCAGGATGAAACTGTTACAAACTATTCTTTTGCAGTGTGTTTCTGGTGAGCAGTGCTGTAACACAGCGACAGTTCATTTTATTAAAGGGGTTTGTAATTTCAAGACATGAACAGTTACAATATTTTGATACTAAATATGTTTGACTTACTTCAGACTTCGTGTCAATAATGTCTGTGCATTGAGTTTTGTTCTTAAAAAAGAAAAGTAATTGGTAGGCATTAAGGATTTATAATTCTATTCACAGCAGCAGCAACATAAAAAGTAGTTCTGGCAGTCACCAAGTTACCGTCTTGACAAAGACTTGAGGGTTCTCCATTTCAAAGTTATGTTCCAGTTTAGTTGGGAAGATTATGGACACATTCACAGGAAAAGACTTCCAACCAGGATTAGATATCTGCCAATAGTGAGAGACAGTTGGTCAATTTTAAAAGAACAGATCGACATTTTGCAGTGCCTCAATTGGACCAAAAAAGGTGCCAGTACCTTAATTCAGTCCAACCCTAAACACAACATAACCCTAATTCTTTTGCCATTTTTTAAATCAATTTTACCAAAGACATGTTCTTTCTTTTCTTGTCTTTCTGTCTCATAAAGACAAGGAAGGGTACATTGCACTTCTGTATGAGACATCAAGGGGCATGACAAAGCAGACAGCCAAAGTTTGTGACTAGCTAGTGAACACAAGGAAGCCTTTAGCAACTGAAGAGCCAGACAATTCACCTTAGATTTATCAAAGACCAAACCAGAGAAAAATAGTGATAAAAATGTGTCAGGTGACCAGAAACATCACTCCAAATGAATGCTAATGTTGCCCTTTCTCTGCTTGATGTAAAAACAGGCAACTGTTTGCTAAGAAGTTCGTCTTTATAACGTCTTTATCAGGACATAAACTGTCAGTGTTGTGTGTGTGTGCTGCTTGTTCAGCTGCCCCCAAGCAGCCAAAAAATTCCAAAATTGCAGCTTAATTAGTACTTAATGATCAGTTCAAGTTTGCTATTGGAGTGGAATGTTGCTTGTTGTTGTAATTTACGGCCTCACCTCATATATAGCAACCAGTTTCTTAGGTGCAGTATCCTCTGTTGTGAAGTTCAGATAGGTGGTGGTGTCTTCTTTCCTGAAAAGAATACAGGATGATCACAATATGCAGGCATCCGTGGGATGATTATTAATTACTAGTCACATATAAGAACTACAGTTACAAAATACTATTTATGCGAGTATTGCCACTTACACTGTTACTACCATTTTAATTTCAAATTGTACTGGGATGCTTTTGGTCAGGGAATTGGTCCTGGTGGAGTTTGCATTATCACTGAGGATGTAAAAAGAAATTCTTGTGAATATTAAACATGAAATATGTAATTGTGATAGTAAATAATATTTAATCATACAGAGTAAATGTAAGTAAATATAAGAAGGCCTGTACCTTTTTCCAGTAATGGTCATCAAAACAGTGTCATTCCACTCACTCTCAGTCATGATGTGGAAAGAAGTTTTAAATGTTGCCTTCACAGAAAAAAAGACTATAATGTTAGATTATATTCAATGAGAAAATTACTAAATTAGAGACGTTTCAAAGCTTAGGTCACAGCTCTTGATTTATGCAACTTTACTTCTGCCAGCTATGAAGGTGTCTAGTGGCAGTATGACTCACAACTGATCTGCTGCGATACACAGGAAGGCTGATACCACATATAGTTTCATCAAGAACTCCTTCTCGACCATTGCAGCTGTGGGGTGTTGATCTTGTCGCCTGTTTTAAGAAAGAAACGTGTAAATTAAGACCCTCAGGTAATAAAACCATTTAGTTTGAATTCAATGCTATGGTGTTTGTGTGAACATGACTGTAGTTTGATACACTGTAGGTATGTTTAAAACTAAGTTTAAAGAGAGAGATTTCCAACAGTATTAGTCTTAGGGTTTGATTATTGATTCATATTGTGATTAAAAACACTCCTAAAAACCCACATCCTGCATGAGTTTCAAATCCTCCAAAGATTTTCTGTTCCATTTCCTCTGCGTGTTTAGAGGCACAGAGATTTTAGCGAAAATGTGTGAAAGAAAGCTTTGCAGTAGTTGTGCAATTGACATAAGCGGAGGTTAATTTAATAAATGTCAGTGTTTTTCTGACAGATTTTACACGTAACATAATTTTAATAAATTTACCAAAAAGTGCATTATATATTAATAATCTCATCCGTTTACATGCAGTTTAAATAAAAGGGCAGAGACTTGACAGGGGGTTTTAGGAATAGAGTAATGGGAAGAGAGTGCCAACAACAAACAGCCTACTTCCCTTGAGTCAGACTGTCTTCTATTCAACTCCACAACCCCAGCCAACGCTGACTCAAGTGACATCACTTGAGGTAATTTATCAGACTTTGTGCAGTTCCCTCTGAAGCTATGCACATAAGAACTTATCTAACTTTTTTCACATATGCAGTGGTACTCCCCAAGATCTGCAAACAGACTTTGATGTGTGAAAATGTGAGTATAATGCCCACTAAGGGGGGACGTGACATAGAAGTTTTAGAATAGAATATTTTGTCACCTCTGTAACAGTCATCCTAGAGAAGGAGAGTCCTGGAGGATAGTGCATTGAAAGGCTGGTGTTGTACGAGTCATCACCATGATTGGACAGTTTTATAGACATGTTGAAGTAGTTATCTTCTGCCACCAATAATTTCTGGGTCCTAAGAGAAAGAGAGTACTTCTTACATTTGGTCATATGATGTGAATATTACAGTTGCTGTGCTGTATTTACCAGATATACGTACATGAAGTTGAAATCCACCTCAAGTTCAGCAATACAGGTGTCATTTTTTCTGCATTGCTTTTCAAAGGGAATCTGTAAAAAGATATTTTTTGACATGTCATGCTTGAAAATACAGAGAAAGCCAGAGGGTTAAAAGGATTCCTTTGCAACACAATAGACGAACAACATAGGTTTTGTGCTTAGACAACTTCAAATACACTGAACAGTGCTTGTAATCAATGGTTCCCAGCTGATGATGATGATAATGTGACTGACACGCAACAGAAATGACCTGACAAGCTGCTCTGCACTGTCCATCTACCACCAAACTTAACCTGACAGTTATCAGCCATCCAAAGATTTAAGATTTACTTTATTAATCCCCTATTGGAGAAATTATTTTGAGAAAAATGACCCACTCCCACTGTAGATAAAAACAGCTAATTCTAAGGTAACAAAAACACAATTTTTAGGTGATTATACACTAATGAAAACAGACTTATGAATATCATATTCCATTTCTGCCAATAGATCCTCCTAAATGTTACACACTGGATCATTAGGTTTTAAGTTTTTGGCCGTCCTGGTAAAATCTTTAGTAACAAATGTGTCTTAAAGGCAGTCTTTGTTATTTGTGTCAAAGGTAAATCCCCACTTGGAAAGAGTAAGTGTTAAAAAAGATAAATTAACAAAAGTCATCATCACACGCTTAAAACAAAATAAATAGTAATGTGCAGAACTTTGATAATGTCTTTATCTAAACACAAATGTCTTAAGATGGGCACATATACAAAAAAAATCAGTAAGGATGCAAATCCATGTGACTGCCTCCAGCCTTCTGCTGTACATACCTCAACAACAGCCTGCTTTTTGCTGTCCACATTCAGGACGGTGCTTGCATTCTCGCTGTCAACTTGGGAAAAATTTAATTTGAGTCTGATGGGTGACAATGTGTCTTTCACACATTTCTGCAAGAAAAAAAAGAACAGTCATTTGCGTATCTGTTGAAAGTTTAGTCTCAACATCAAGCTAAAGAACTGAATACTAAATAAGTCTATTATTAGACTATGATTAGTATTACTGCTTTTTAGTCCGGATTATAGTTTTTATGAGTTAAGTTTATGATGGTGTTGCTACATGGGCATGTGGGTTGATGATAATTTGAGCTTTATAAAAGACCAAAAAAGTATACATCAGCTGCAGTAAAAAGTACAGTAGATGTCCATACTTCTATATAACAACTTTTAATGGAAGTTATCAACACTTTTTAATTTCTTAAATATAGTTGGACACAGTTGAACACAATTTATGTTGCATAAAGAGCCCTTAAAGTCCAGATTAAATGAAAAATGCCTTTTTAACCCTTTAAGATGACACCCCTGGTCATATTGTACACCTGTTTAACAATGTATGCCAAACACTTCTTCTGTTTCTCTGAATTGTTATAGCAAAATCCAATCATTTTGTTGTGTGCTTTCATAAGGAATAACCGACCAATTTCAACCAATAATATCATGACATCCACCCACTAATCAATCTTCAACTTTTTGTGATACAGAGCAAATATTCATTATTAGGTAACTAGCAGCAGCATGGCTTTCTGCTCGAGTGTTCCTCAGGGCCAGGCCTCACTATGAAAATATGTTCTGATTTTCCAGCAAAACCCAAACCCAGCAAAAAAAAAAAAAACACTGGTAGTGTATTCCCTGTCATCAAACTGGCCTCTGTTGGTATCGGATGCTGTATTTGGTCCCGGTCTGGCCATGCTGTTCACTGGGAGCTCCCAATGGGACGGTGGGACATAATACACATTCCGCAGTACTGGCTAGTCACTCCCTATCTGTCTATTTTTACAGAGAACACACAAAATGCAGAAGCAAATGGCACTCTGCTTTCTGTTTCATGTGGACTTCAAGTCGCATGTCCAAAGCCACATTTTGGGCTATAACCTACAACTGTTAATCAATATACTCCGCATGCTTTATAAAACTCTGTTGGATTTAAAGTCTGTTGTGTAGGTTAATGGAAAAATCTATGAATTAAATAGCTGAGATATAGATATATGGATGATATTTCTAGATTTACAATTGGTGATAGCAAAGAAACTAATATACAGATAGTATAAGTATATAAGTATGTGAATGTGACCGTGAATGTGAACATGGTGAATGTTTTTTAATTGATCTCCATACTGGCATGTAGATGGAGTAGTTGAAGCAGGTTTCTTTTTCTCTTAGCGTGTAGGTAGAAGTAAGATTCCTAGCTTTCTTGTCGGTTTGACTGAAGAAACCTCGATATGTTTGCCTCATCGGATCCACGTCAATCACATATGAGATGTTTAGTCCGGAGCTCATTGCCCCTGCAAAGGCACACAGCAGGATTCAAATAATGCATTGATAGGGTGTGCAGTATCAGTAGCTGTTATTGAATCACATTATAGGATCAGGTCCCTACCTGCATTGCTCTTTGTTGTTTCTGCCATTTCAAAACATGCTGTTAAGGTAACCATTGGTAGAATTTCAACTGTGTTGCCCAGACAGTCAATTTTGTCAGTGCTTATCTCCTCAGGTTGAAAAGAAAGATGAGCCATGACATTAACAACAGGTCTGGACCTGAAAGAATGATTAATCAATATGATTAAAAATGGATTATTACTTGCACATGATCTTTTCTGTAGGACGACGATACTAATGCATGTAATATGGGTTTACTCAACTCATCTATATTTATAAAGTGCCTTTCATACAAACATGCAGCCCAAAGTGCAGACACCAGTCCACAATTTCGCTTCCTCCTTCTTCCACTTTGTCACTGGTGATTTTTTCTCAAACTATAGAAATTAGTGTTATGCCTTTGTTAATTATACAATTTTGATGAGTTAATTAGAATCTTGTAGATTCTCAGGCAATGTGTTTCACTCTTTTGTTGGAAATCTCCGCACTAGAATGTATGCAGCCTTTCCGTGACTAGGGGTTAATAATACTTAATGTATACGGCATCTGTACCTTAAGACAACAGCTGTGCCCTGTGATCCGATCACAATATCTGGAAGTCCGTCCTCCCCAAGGTCGATGTCCCCATCAATGGCCTGTCCAAAGAATCTCAGCCCAGGCTTTATCTTCTGTCCCAGGATTCTCTGGAATAACAAGTAACAACTGAAGCAGTGTATCATTTCTCAGGGTGAGACAGAAAAAGGTTTTAGAAGGTAGTTACCAAAATTATTGACAAATATCAGATGATAGTCATATCATCTATTAATTCAGTTCATTCTGAGGCTGACTTTGTAGTCTTATTCAAAGGTCAGTCTTAGACTGACCAGATTCATGGCCGTGAAGACAGGATGACTTGATGCACTACTGATTGATATGGAAATGTATTTTTCCATCTAATCCCAGCATAGTCATCACTCACCCAATCAGTTGCTGTTTCCTTCATCTAGGGAGCTAAATAACTTTTTCAAAACAAAAACAAAACAAACTGTGTCAGGTTTTCTCTGTCTCACCTGGCTGAAAGTGCTGCGTATCCCTCTCTGTCTGTCACCAAGGTAGATGTACACAGCCCCCCCATTATCATCCGCAAGAGGGGCTCCAACAGCAACATCTCTAAGTCCATCTCCATTTAGGTCTGCAAGACTGGATATGGTGGTGCCAAATCTGCCCATGGATGGTGCCGTCACATTCAGTTCCCTTTTCAGTTGTATCTATAGGAAATAAGAATATAAGTTTATTGATTAAGACAACACATACATTAAGTTTCTCCCTGTAACCTCATTTAAGCTCAAACACAGTCACAGCCCACCTCATCAGTCAGTGTGTAGACGTATATCTGGCCCTCTCTCTTCTCCTGAGGCTGGTAAAACAGTGGAGCTCCCACCAGCAGGAAGTCGGTGTTACCGTCTGAGTTGATGTCTACTGAGCACAGTTCTGCACCAAAGTAGGAACCAATCTGAAAAATGTGTGGGATATAAATGAGGATTTTTATCATTTAAGTTAAAAAAAAGATACACTAAAGTGTATAGTGTAAAAGTGATTTTCATGTCATCCAAGTTAAAAAATGCTGCCAGTGCAAGGAAGTTCTCTGGTTTCCTCTCTGAAACCACTGAACTAATGAGCCTTTGCACATTTCCATAAAGGTGCAACATACAACATCTCTAAATACATAAAAGAAAGAAGGGAAAAATAAAGTCATGCAGTAGAATTGTTCAAAGAAATCGGCTTGATTTCTTCAATGTATTCAGGGTCCAGCAGCTTGTCAAAGAAGTCAGTTAACTGAGTTTATATGAGTAAGACTAAAATGAAATTCTAGGTTTTTCTGAGCAAAGTTATCTCAGAGGTGAAAGTAAACCTGCCTCTTGGACAGTCTCCTGTTATTCAAGTAGAAAACTAGCTTCAGGAGAAATGTCCTAAAAATTATACAGAATGGTGGCATAACTAAAATGCTTTTTAAACATGCAATGGAAGATTGAGGTTCAAACATGCTAAGCATATCAGGTCCAGTATGCAACTTCTACAGTGTAATGTAGAAACTTGAAGCCACCAGTGCACATCCACTGAGAATGGACTTTACAGTGTAGTAGGAGACATTTTGTGTCCAGCAGGGAAACTAAATTAACACATATATACTGTATATATATTTTAATGTGGAAATTATACTATTTTGTAGAAAAACACATCAGACATACATTATTGTTCCAAGCAAACTATATCTTTCAACACATGTCCAGAGATGATCTTTAATGAATTATTTCCATTCAGAATATGTATGATAAACCAAATTTGAAAAAACTTTCCCAAGACAGTTACCAACCTGGTCCCCCTTTATTCTTTGCTCTGTGATCCAGTTCTTGCCATCAAGTCTGAAAAGTACGACCTGTCCCTTGTGCTCAAATCTTGGTGCACCCGCAAAATATAGTGGAGCCTTATTCTTCTCTCCAACAGAAATGGAGTATCCTGCAACAGTGTCAGTCACATATGATATAATCTGCTAAATGTTCACTCACATCAGGTTATAAATCAGGTTAAGAGGTTATAATGCAGTAAAGGAAGTGTTCAGATTCTAAAATTATGTTGATTCTTAAGGAAGTGCCCTTTGTTTTCCTACATGTTTAGCCCCCCTGAATATTGTCATGTAGACGTGTTCAGGGCGAGACTCTTATCAAACATGAAAAGTTTCGTTGAGATTGGACCATGTACACTGAAGTTATGACAACTTCCTGTTTATGGCGAGTCGTTGAAATTCGACGCCACGCCATAGGCAACATAGTTCAACAGAATTGACCGCTAATGACTCTTTCGCACGGTCTATAAAGAAGCACATAATCTGAAAATAAATAAATAACTTTATGTACAATACCCATATAAGAGTCATTGTGCATCTGTGGATCTTCAATTTGTGTTTGGATTTTTCCTTGAATCGCTTGGAGAGAACCACGCCAAATGTTTGATCCTACTGAACCCAGAATCAAGGTATCCTGTTGACAGAAAAGTGCAGGTCAGGTGACAGATCAACTGCTTTACAGATATCAAAGAGTCATGTTCACAGTCATCAGACTTTGTTTTCCCTTAGGCATGGGGGGTATGGATCCCTATGAAGATGATGTCACACACATACTTTATAAAGGATTTAATTCAATTTTAAAGACTTTGTTTACCCTGTTTGCAGTTTTACAGGTTTAATGTTGGTCTGTTAGGAAACAGCTTTTTATTGTTCTAAAGCCAATAAATGTACTGATTGTTGAATTGTTGGTAGTTTATACACTGCTGTAAACATATAAGATGCCATACTTCCGTTACACTTCTTACAGAGTAGCTGCTCAAGGCATATTTGTAATTGTAATTTCAAATAGAAGTCTGGGACTAGGGTAACCAGATCACAACAAACCAGATTTGTGTGTTATAATGTGAAACATCTGGAATATCTGATACAAAATCTAACAAACTTGAAGAATAAAGATTTCTATTCTGCCCTTCAGTGCATACAGTATCTACAGCAAGCTTTGCTGCCCTGTGGTTGAATCTTTTAGTATGTGAGGGAATTAACAAACATATTTTATTTGAATAAACTTCCCTAACTCCCATGCTAAGTAAATGCAGTAGGCATTAAAAGGAAGTTTCTTCTTATGGTCTTATGCCACCAGGTTCACCCAGCTCTAAGTAGTTTCCTAGTCTTTGTTGCAGCAGCATTTCCCTTTCTTTGTGGTAGTTTCCATCATTGCCTAAATCTGCACAGCTTGTGATTTGCAATATTCTCAGTTGGGACAGGTTCTGAGCATCAAACAGCCACGTGCCAGGAAACCCTATCTGGGACCTGTATTATTATCTATACATTATTGATACCATACTGACAGGTCAAATGTTGGTGCTAAAATTAAAGGTCCAAATTTCAAATCTGTAAAATTTTTAATTTGTCAAGATTTTTTTTTTTCAACTTTACTCACGTTGTAGAAGGCACCACTGAATCCAGTCTGAGACATTTCATTACGAAGGTCTTCTGCCCGAGCCACTTCGGAGCCTAAATATAAAGGCATAGTAACATTTAACTGACTGTTGCAGGGGCACACCAGGAAGATAAGCATGCTTTTCATGACTACATTATTTCACAAGAGATATAAAATAATAATAAAAGATTACCTTCCATTTGAAAGATCTTTTTTTGAAAGTTTTCCAGTACTCCTGTGAGTCCGTCATAGTTCTGAATTTTGAAGGCATTTTTGTCTTTTGGTTCTGAAGCAATGGCCTTAAATTTAGCCAGATTAGCAGCTTTGACCTGAAACCAGAATGCTGCAATAAGCATTATGAAGTACCTCAAAGTCTAAAGTGTAAACAGTTTATACAGTTTCACCATTTAAGGGGTCACAGCACCCACAGAAACACCAAAACCAATCAAAACACAAAAAACCTGAAAATAAGGTGCAGGTAGAAAAAAAAACATGTCTGAACTTTTGTTTTTGTCTGATAAGTATGACTGTGTATCATCTGCGTATCAGTGAACATAATAATTCCAAGAGTTGATCTCTGAGGTATACCACATGTGATTATTTTAGAATAAATGAATTGATCAACAGATAATTGTCTATTGGACAAATCAGGCAGAATAATGAGACACATTATAACACATCATAGCTTACCCCAATGACAAAACGAATTATGTTTTTATCATCATATCTTTTAATAATTCCATATTTGTCACTATCACTGGGATCTCCATCTGTGATTAGTACCACAACTTTAGTTGCATCAGGAGAGGCGCCTGAATCTGGGTTTTCTAAGATTCCTTCCCTGAAAGAAATGTAACAGTACTTGTGATGTTCAGAATATACAAAAGATAATTTATGAATAAATTAACATTACTTCAAAAAATAAGACACTCTCTAAATCTTACAGTTATACTTTGGCAGTTGTTCAGTTATTTTAAATGTTATTCAGTTGTTCAAGAATTTGAGAACTGTTTGTTTAATGTGAGTGAACTTACAACACAAATGTGAGTGCTCTGTGTGTGTTAGTAAGACTCCTCAGATGTCCTTCTCCCATTAGTTTATCGAGAGCACTACCAGCTTGATAGTCATTGAAGTCAAACACTTTCCTGTAATCTGAGGAAAACTGAACTGCTGCAAACTGAAAAAAGCAGACAACATAACACAGTATTCATATGATATTATGTAAATATAATACAACAAATAAATCAATGTTTATATGTTGCAGTAGTGCAGTGACCTTGATTGATGTGTTCAGAAGGCTTTTCATTATATCCACTATGAAATCTTTATTTTTGTTGAACTCTGATTCAGTCATACTCGCTGATCCATCAAATAGAAAGACAAGGTCCACTGTCTTTTGTATGCATTCTGAAAAAACATACAAAGTGAAAGTTTGTAAAGAATATTTAGTCAGAACAAAGACATGCTTTATTGAAAGACGAACAATATGTTATGACCACAGAAATGGAGAAAATCATACTAATGTATTTTACCTTGAAAATTAGGTGTGAAAGAGGAGATCTGCTTAAGGTCATCTGTCATCTTGTAACACACACTGTTCAGATAGGAGTTCTCATTGCATTCATGAGCTACACTTGGACTGCAAACCTAGATCCAAACAAAAGAGGTGAAAGAAATTTGATTAATAATATTAAATTATTTTGCTCAAAAATTGAAGAAATATCACAGAGAATGTGTAATTAGCTTAGTGATTTTCTTACAGTGAACTGGGAGCTTTTGGGGTCTTCAGCGATCGACAGGCCAAGGTGCTTGACTTGTATTGTTGAATTTGTGAGAGGACTTTCTGCAAAGTGGAATTTGATTAGTACTTTAAAGAGTAACTAAACACCCAAACCTCTTTTTTTCTGCTGAAAACCTATGGGTATTCAGGAATTTGACATATTGTGATATAAATTTGCACAGTAACCTCCCTCTACTGGTTGAAAGTTAAGAGATAGCCTCTCTGACCCGCTAGCTTAGCTAATGTTACAACACAGGTACCATGCAGAAACGTTTACAGTGGCTGTGAATATGCTTCTAGTGACTGTCAGAGCTACATTGAACTCTTTGTGTTTCCAGCGCAGACACAGACAGTCTGACACCAGCTGCTCATGGCTCGGTTAGCTATGACTAGGGTATTCCTGGTGCTATGAGTGGTGGTGAGTCTGAAACTTTTGTCAGTGTCACCTCCTACATCACACACCCCCGCCACATGGACTAGTAAAGATGTATTGCTACATTGTTGGAAACTGTACTTTCCCTGTTATAAATAGTGGGATTCATTTTATAATATTGACTTGAGTTAACGCATTTATATAAGATAAGATTACCTCCAGGTTCGAACCACTTGTGGGTTTGGTCTTGGTCAGGTTTGCATATTCCCCCAGATCCATTAAAGCGCAGAGGTGCAGTAACAATTATCCTGTGAATGAGGTCACAACCATGGTCAACTTAGCCAATTCGGTGGCCAGCCTGACAAAAGCAGAAGACTAAACCTATTTTGCTGCTGACAACAAGCAGGTTCTCAGAGTAACCTTTTTGTGATGCCACAGAATTACATTCAACAGGATGTCAGATCATAAAAAGTGATAAACCACAAAGTGTTACTTCTCCGAAGCGCTTCTGGTGATTAAAGAAAACTCTTTTATCAGCAATAAAGTTACATGCAAAAGGAAATATGTAATACAGATTTTGACAGCAATGCTAAATATCAACAGAACCATCAAGTGGATGCAAACTTACCCTTTGCTTTTGCCAGACACAAATTGAAGCACTTTGTAACCAAAGAAATCTTTTTGTTCACCAGCATAGACAACAGGATTTGTCATATCAATGTTGAAAGCCAGAGAGACAGGGACTGCTGCAATTTTTGAGAAAACACCACATATTTAAAGATTTAGATTATTTAAAGATCCCCTCCAGACATGTATTGCAACATTATACAAATAATCTGCTAGGAACAATATTGTGTGTCTAATGTGTTTTTTCTGTAAAAAAATAAAAAATAAATAATGAATTTGTTCATTTCTAAAGATTTTCAGCTGGACACAAGATGTCTCCTCCTTCACTGTAAAGTCCATTCTCAGTGGATGTGCACTTGTGGCTTTAAGTTCGTACATCACACTGTATAAGTTGCATACTGGACCAGGACTGACTTTTTCAAGAGCTTAACACACGAAACTTGGTGCTTACGTTACCCACAATGCAACTTGATAGCCGACAGTCAGAGATCCAGGTGTGTTATGCTTTTAACAGCTAATGTAGCCTGGAGCCACTATCTCAAGCAGAGATGAGGAGTGGGCTACAGAGGTCTGACACTTTTGCTGCACAGCCCCAAACTTTTGTCATTATGGCTTGGAATATATAAAAAACAGAAAACATTTTTTTATACACTCAGTAGTAGCCTACTCCCCAACACCTATAAACAGTCCCCTGATCATCCCCCGATGACCTGCAGTGATTCTGTGATTAATGTATTGTTGTTTTTGTGGCTGATGCATGAAGAAGTTGACATGTTTTTGTTTAAAGCTGTGCTTATATTTTTTATCAGATGTCTTTGTGTAACGTGAAAGGAGTAGGTCATAATCATTAGCTCTGTGGAGCATTTTAGTATCTGTCAGCTCCTAGCAACCTGCAAATGTTCTTTCTCACTATTGTTTCCAGCCATAGCAGGCAGCTGTGAAGCTGTGAAAACCCACAGTGAGTCTCAATGACTGTAACTTCCCAGCACCAAATGACAGACAACGTTAGCAACTAGCTGGTGAACATAGTGGAACATTTAGAGGCTAAACAGACAGCAATTTTCCACAGGAGTTGGTGGAGACCAAACCAGACCTAAAACCCAGATAATCAGTTTGTGTTTACGGCCTGTTGTGCTGCCCCCTTGGGCCCAAACCAATCAGCTAATACAGAAAAAAGTGTGTTCAGCTCTCTCAGTCACAGTCTATAGTTTAGAGAACATATTCAGACAGTTCAATCACAAAAAACAACCTTAGGTTGAAGTGGTGGAATGTAACTAAGCACATATACTTAAATACTGTACTGAAATCCAAATTTGAGGTACTTTGTATTTTCCTTTCCTGCCACTTTACACTTCTGCTGCTCTATGTTTCAGGGAGAAATATTGTACTTTTTATTTAAATTATTTGACAGCTTTAGTTACATATTGCAAAAACATGGTTCTGGCTTCAAATGCTAGAATTTGTTGTTTTATTTATCTTTATATTTACAATATTTTAATTTATTTTGAATAAATTAAGAAAAAATAATCAGCAGATTAATACATAATTAAAACATTCATTACTTGCAGACCTATACAAAATAGTTCAAAATGAGCTCCACCTCAACCAGCTACAACAGTAAAATCCTGTGTTAACATTAATGCTTGAGTTCTAATAATCTAATGATATAATATAACCTATAACAGAATTACAGAGGTAATTTTTCCTCTTCTCTTTTACAATGGAGTATTTTTACAGTGTGGTATTGGTACTTCTACTTAAGTAAGGGATCTGAATCTTCCTCCACCGCTGACTAATGTCCACCTCTTCTCCACCACCCTACTTCAACTGAGGCCAACGTATGTTTTGCCTAAAAAACAAAAATACCTCAAAGGCAATTTGTTTCTTTTAAAAATAAATTCCGGGTTACTCTGGATAATTCAGTTTTCTATATGCATCATTTCCTCTGTAAAAGTAGTTTATGTGAACACCATGATAGAGTTTTTGCACTCTGCATTGACACAGTTTCTGTACATTTAAATTGAGGTTTGGAACTTAAAACATATATTATAGACAATAATACTATTATAATACTAACAATACAACAGTAGAAAATGATGTTTTCACAGCTTCAGAAATGCTACTGCTTTCTCATTTTACATCTCTTAAGGGTTTCAGCCTTCATTTATTTCCCCCCTCACATAAAGCATCAAGCCTAAAGATTGTCTCATTAATTACTCAACATGTAGCAAAATTTTAGATCTTACCAAAAGCCACCATGTAGGTGAGCAGGAAGATGTGACTCTGCCCATGCATCTTCACATCAATCTTCTTTCAGATAACAGTGCTGGTGGTGTTTTTTGAGAAGTGTCTGCAATACTTCCTGTGTGCTTTTTAAATGAAGGCGTTTCCGTAGCAGGTGGTTGTGACACTTCTGCTCTCACAGCAATGCTCTCAGCAAATGTCTCTTTTCCCACATGCTTCCCCTTTTCTTTGGTAATTCCGAAACCCTTCATTTTATACTTATTTTTCTTTTTTTTACATTTTCATGGAGGAAAAAGGAGGCTGTATAATAAAGATTGTAGTGAGTGTTGAAAGACCCCCCTTTATCAGAGCTGAATTAAAGGTAGGCCTAATGTTAGCACAAACGTCTCACAGTGGGGCTGCGAGTTCAGCATATCATAAAAACTGTTTTTGTAATAAAGGCACCAAATTTGGCAGATTTGTTGATAGATTTATTGGGAGCAAATAATGATGATATGATGGCCCAATATTTGTTTTGGGCCATCATCAAACATTTTTCAAAATGTCCACAAGTGGTTGGTCAAACTCTTGTATCCCACTGGACATGGGCATAGCACAACATTTTGGACCCTTTACATACAGTATTTATTCTCTATGGGCCTGTTATGCACTCTATGAGATCATCAATGATGTTGAGGGCCCTACCATGTTAGAAGGGGAAGCTGCTAATGTTACTGATACATTTTTCTTTTATGTTTTCTGAATGGCAGATAAAAGAACATTTTGGGGATGCGTTCAAGTACTGTGGGAAATTTGTAGAAGTTCCTTCAAGAAATGTTTCATGTGTTTGTTATTTTCTAGATGGGAGATATTTAGGGTGCCCAGGACAAAGGATTACTGTGCTAATTAAACCTCACAAAATAATACTTAAATTCTTAATTAGCCATCTATTTCAACTTGTTACACGTGACACAAGAAATACAGATTTAATAATGTCATAAAACATTAAGTTAGATTTAGATTTAGTCAGAAAGAAGACACTCAGACTGTAGTTACTGCACTCTTGCTTTGCACTACCTACATATCTGTTTATGGTAATACACAGACAGTATGCAGTATCTGCATTTTTGGGGTCATAGGTCAAATAATTGATCATGATTTTTAAGCCACAAAAATTACTTGGATAATACATATGTAATAAGCACATAACCACCATTCCACATAAAACACATTTGGCTGGCCAGTCAACAAACTGTTACTGTGGTTATGCTTTGTAGGGCAGCATTGGCTTGCATTAGATTGTAGCGTACCTAATAGTGGCCACTAACTGTAGAGGAGGATTTACCCAATAAAGAGCCAGTGACCAAAATCAGAACAAAAAGGAGAGTTCATACATTCATCAGGTGGCCAGATATATGACTCCAAATGAATGCTTATGTTGAACTGTGTCTGCTGGATGTAGAAATAGGCTGTTGTTTGCTAATCCGTTTGACAAATTAATTTTGGAAGATGATTTGTCGCTGTGCTGAGTTGCAGCTTACTACTGCTTCACCCAAATGTTTGTTTGAATCGATCCTTCAACATATTGGACCATAAAATAAGTTGCCTGCCAACCTGTGATATTCTCCTTTTATTCTGTATGTTTATAATATCTCTGTTAGTCTCTGTTTAGTTTAAACATGTGACTGTTGTTCCTCTTTGGTATTACAGCATTGCAAGAACTACACAAAAGTGCCATTTGGCCTACATGTCACCGACAGAGTAGCTAGTACAGTCTAGTTTTATATCTGTAGATCATTATCACTGATGACACAGGGAGGGAACAGGATGTGTATTATTTCTCAAGCACCAGTATGCCACTGTAACTGCAGTTGTTCTGGGGGAAAAAATTAACACCCTAATAAAAATGTCTCCTATACAGGACCCAACATTTTCTCATTCAATCAGTCTGGGACTGTCTGATGGTCATCATTCTTGGAGGCTTGAGTGAGCAACAGGCTTTTGAACCTTGAGAGAAAAGTCCACAACTGGGCATCCCTGTGTTATGCAGCCCAGGGAAATGATGTCCACATGTGGGGAGAAATACATAGCTAAGTTCTGTGGAGTCACCCCTCCACTGGCCTCTATCAGGGTAGTTGGGAACTCCTCCTTCAGTGCTTGGGCTGCAACATGGAACTCCTGTAGATGAAAGACAAAGTGTGTGTGTGTGTGTGTGTGGGTGGGTGTGTGTGTGTGTGTGGGGGGGGGGGGTATTTCATGCAGAGGTTAGTTAAGTGGCGGAGTGAGTGCAAACCAGGCAATGAAAATGAGAAATGACCTAGGCTGGTGTTCTTTTAATATTATTTACCTGAGGTTGAAAGTTGTCCAGCATAACAATGTCTGCTCCGGCTGCGGCTGCCTCTCTGCCCTCCTCTGAAGAGCGGCATTCCACCTCAATCTTACTGCTGAAGCCACATACTGACCGTGCAGCTTTCACGGCCTGCGTGAAATGACAGATCTCAGTCTCAGATGTCAGACTTGATCAAGCTGTTACTAAAGTTACTGCCTCTATTGTTGGTCTGTTCACACAAAACTATTTGAATATACATAAATACACTATAAAGAGGAAGGCTATTTTCTGTGAATTTTAACCACTTAGTTATGTTAAAGACATAACTGAAATTGTTGGCCTTTAGTGGAATATCTCAACAACTAAGGGATGGACCTCCAGGAAATTTTGAAAAAATACGACCTGTGGCCCTTTGCTGCGAATATATATATTAAAAACACTGTATGAACAAACAGTGAATTGGAAAAGGCTGTGGATGCCCACCTGTGTGATACTTCCTGATGCCCAGACATGGTTGTCTTTCAGCATCACCATTCCACTCAGGTCCTGTCTGTGCATGGACACGCCGCCAACCAGCATGGCGTACTTCTCCACCACACGGAAGCCGGGGGTGGTCTTGCGTGTGCCAGCCACTTCTCCATGCCAGCCTTTGGCTGTTGCCATTGCCTGGAGCTGAGAACAACGGGTGGCGATCCCTGAGGCCCGTGCCAGGCAGTTGAGAGCCGGCCTTTCACCAAGGAGGAGGCACCTTGCTGAGCCTCTCACCACAGCCGTCAGCGTGATGGCATCTGGACCTGTGGAGGTGAGATAATGACAGTGGAGGGCTGACATCAAATAGAGCCTTGCAAAATTTCCAGTGCTTTTATTTATTTACTTTAGAGCTGATGAATCAACATTAAATTAATGTTTTCTAAAGCTCTCCAATTAATTCTGAGGAACTCCAAATAACCTAACAATGCTTTTTGTTCTTAATTTTACATCAGGTCATATGAATGAAAATACACTGACAAACAAAAAAAACCAAATCCTAGTCTAACAAGCTTAATGTAAACCTTCATGTTGGATTGAATATTGTTGCATCTAAGGAAGAGCAGCCAAAACTTTGAATGGGGTGGGGTCAGACTGGAGCACACGCTTAAAAAAAAGGGACACTGTGGAAAACAGTGTAAAGATGTGTCTAAATGTATAATTAACTTCTGGACTATTTCTTGGTACAGCACTGTGACATAAAACTACAATTTGTTTTCTTGGTTGTTGCACACAATGAACAAATAGGATTTTACATTTTCATCTTTGAGCTTTAGAGCTGCTTGTAGGACAGAGCCAGACTAGCTGTTACCCACTACTACTATGCTATTTGTCAGATCTTTTCAGCCAGCAGTCTGTTTGAAATGTTTTTAAAAGATCTTATATTAAAAGTAGGTGGAAAGGTAAAGCGGGAAAAAGAAAAAGCTACAGCAAGAGTTTAAGATTAACAACCATACTTACAAAAAATAGTCCATTGTTCTTTAGCTGCTGTGCTATGGAAGAAGGTGTGCAATGCCTACCGATCTCAGCTCCCTCCTGGTAAACCCAGTCCACGGTGCAGCCCACTTCAGTGAACACTGCTGTGAAGAAGGGGATCCCTGCCAGGACGCTGTGTGGTGTTTTACACAGCAACCTGGCCTCGACATCCTGTGACCCCACACACACTCCTGCCGGGTCAAAGTTTGGTGTGTCCTCAGCCAGCCATTCTCGTGCCAGACGGGTCAGAGTGTGTGGTGGGATCGAGAGTGCTGCTGTGTGTGAGGGCGGAGACATTCTGAAACCTGTGTGAATGGAGGAAACTTGTGATTTATTGTGCCAGTTGACCTGAAAGCAGGAAGTGAAAGCAAATAACACAGTCAAACAACTCTCAAGGTGCATTCTTGTCTGATGATAACTGTGATTCAGATAACACTGGGCCATGTGTTTGAAGATGATAGATTTCAGTTGTTCCTCTCACTTTATCTCTTTCCAGAAGATGTTGACAGTAGAAGAGTTGTAGAAACCAAAGCAGAAATCAGATGTTGTAAACATTCAGGGCTAAGCCCAAATCTAGTTTCTGAGATTCTTTTCCCCATTTACAGCAGCTATATGCACTGTTTTTCAAGCCAATTGAGATAATAGACAGCCTAAAAATCTGTACATCAATTGGGAAAAACATGATAGCTTCCTAAGAAAATCATCCTATTTTGTATCAAATTGTTCTTCAACTATCTTCATCATTCTGAAACCAGAAAAGGATTACTAATTTTCACTCCTGCCACCTAAAAAGAGGCAAAACCAGCTGAGGTTGACTCACAGTCCATAGTCCATAAGATAGTTAGCTAGCCAGCTTGCTCACCGAGGTGACACGACTGAATGAAACACAGCACACACAAACAACAACTCCCCATGATAATGTTGGGTGGACATACAGTAGATGGTAATATTTCCCCAGTGATAGAGCTTTTGCCCCATTGATTTGCCAGTCCAATCAGAGAGACTGAGAGTAAATGACACAAAGTTATTTTAAAAACCTAAAAGATTCAAGGCTTTTAAGAAAACATTTCTTGAGCCCAGATGTTATAGCCTTCAGCTGCGTCGTAAGATACAACTAGGTACTCTACTAATACACAAGAAATAATTACAACCACAATGTTCATAGATTGGAACAGAACAAATGAATGCAAATTAGACATTGGTACTTACTTTCATCAGTGGCTCTCCTTTCTCTGTTGGTCACAGACTGTATGGAGTTGTAGTGCTGAGCATACAGAGCCACAGGAGAAATGTGGCGTGGAATTTGACCCTGTGTCCATGTTGGAATGTTTATGTGCTATCTAAGCATTAGCACTCAAGGCTTAACATTGATTGTTTTAACCAAGGCTGATTCACAGGCCAGAGTGCATAGTTGGAAAAATGAATTGAGGTAAATTCAAAGTCTTAAGTCAGTGCAACAGAGCAACATACATAACCTGCTGTAGACCTGCTAACCCACAGACTGCGCATGAAAACCTACTATATACAACTTTATTGCATTACAAATTTGCAATAAATTGGGTATATTATGTGTAATTGTTTTCATATGTGGCACTGTGCTTACAACCCTGTATCTGCCTGTTTCCTGAAATTGCCTTTACATCAGTGATTGGGACATTTTTGGGGCCTCCATCTCTCAGCAGTGTGCTAACTATGCACTGGAAAGGTATTGCAACACCAAGCATGTGCAAAGCAATAAAAACAACTCAATCTGCAGCAGACAAAATGAACATCAGCACTGGTTTTACAGTCACAGGTTGGTGCTTTTTAAACATCTGTGGTGACTTTGTAAAAGCAGATTGTCTCAGCCTTGGGATAGCAGTCATCACAAGCTCAGGAGGAGCAGTGCTAGAAGTGGTAGGAATGGATTTGCGCCACACTTACTGCCTTTCATTTATTTATTGGGTATTTATTTGACCAATTATTCAGAAGCCACTGATAAGAAGGAAGTTCTTTCTTGGTAACAACTTCTTAACATTTACAACTGCGGGCTTAATGCAATATTATTATCACCTCTATGTAATTACTTATTAATGTGTAAGACTGCAAATGACTTCCTAACCTTTGAAATGTTAGACAGTGAGAAACCTGCAACCTACAGAGCTGATGGCTTATTAAAAAGTAAACTTGTGACCTTTTTATTAACGACTTGACTATTAATAACTCACCAACCAGAGATTTTCCATAATCTGGGAACCCAAAAGTGTGTTATGTGTCTTATGACACAATATATGACTGAAGGGGATCTTTATTGAAGTCAATGTTCATAGATCGTTCATAAAAGGCGCCTTAAAGTGATACCAATAGTCCTATTACTGCTGCTATAGTCATGTTATTAATTAGTTTTGCTTTCATTGTGGATACAATTTAAACATATAACAGGAAGTGTAGTGGTCACTGTATTTGCCCCCGGGGTCTAAAAACCTTACATACACTGCCAATGGGTGTACACATAGACATATATACATAGACGCCACATCGACTGTGGAGCGACGTGCCTACAGGGCGGCCATCTTGGAACAGGGCTAGCAGAGGCAGCGGTGCATCAACCTACGAAGGAAACTCCTCAATCTCAAAGTAGAATTATTCGCTGAATTTTGGACCGATTTCCAAACGTATTGATTTGTTAAAAACGTCACACATGTAGCTAGGATACAGGGTGCTTGGATATTTTAAAAATGCTGGTTTTACTACCCAAATACAAATTCTACTTAATGTTATCAGCAGACGATCTTCTGACAGAAGGTTTGTGAATGAAAAGATGCTAGACTTCTATACGATATATATCTGATATTCAAAAAGGGTAGAGACAGCAGATCCTATGTCTACAATAATAATAAATAATAATAATAATAATAATAATAATAATGATAATGATGATGATGATAGTGATATAATTATAATAATAACAATAATAATATAATATTAATATAATAATAGCAATAGCAACAATAATAATAATATAGTGATAATATTGGCAATAACAATAATAATATAGCAATAATAATAATAATATAATGATATATGTATATGTATATATGTATATATAAGTCTATGTCTATGTATATATGTCTATGTATATATATGTCTATGTATATATGTCTATGTCTATGTATATATGTCTATGTATATAATGTCTATGTATATATGTATATGTATATATGTCTATGTATATATGTCTATGTATATATATGTCTATGTATATATGTCTATGTCTATGTATATATGTGTCTATGTATATATGTCTATGTATATATATCTATGTATATATATGTCTATGTATATATATGTCTATGTATATATGTCTATGTATATATATGTCTATGTATATATATGTCTATGTATATATGTCTATGTCTATGTCTATGTATATAATGTCTATGTATATATGTCTATGTCTATGTCTATGTATATATGTCTATGTATATATGTCTATGTCTATGTATATAATGTCTATGTATATATGTCTATGTCTATGTCTATGTATATATGTCTATGTATATATGTCTATGTCTATGTCTATGTATATAATGTCTATGTATATATGTCTATGTCTATGTCTATGTATATAATGTCTATGTATATATGTCTATGTCTATGTATATGTATATAATGTCTATGTATATATGTCTATGTCTATGTCTATGTATATAATGTCTATGTATATATGTCTATGTATATATGTCTATGTATATATGTCTATGTCTATGTATATATATCTATGTCTATGTATATAATGTCTATGTATATATGTCTATGTCTATGTATATATGTCTATGTATATAATGTCTATGTATATATATGTCTATGTACATAATGTCTATGTATATATGTCTATGTCTATGTCTATGTATATATGTCTATGTATATAATGTCTATGTATATATGTCTATGTATACATATGTCTATGTATATATGTCTATGTCTATGTATATATGTCTATGTATATAATGTCTATGTATATATGTCTGTGTATATATGTCTATGTCTATGTATATGTATATAATGTCTATGTATATATGTCTATGTCTATGTCTATGTATATAATGTCTATGTATATATGTCTATGTCTATGTATATATGTCTATGTATATAATGTCTATGTATATATATGTCTATGTACATAATGTCTATGTATATATGTCTATGTCTATGTCTATGTATATATGTCTATGTATATATGTCTATGTCTATGTCTATGTATATAATGTCTATGTATATATGTCTATGTCTATGTATATATGTCTATGTATATAATGTCTATGTATATATGTCTATGTATATATGTCTATGTCTATGTATATGTATATAATGTCTATGTATATATGTCTATGTCTATGTCTATGTATATAATGTCTATGTATATATGTCTATGTCTATGTATATATGTCTATGTATATAATGTCTATGTATATATATGTCTATGTACATAATGTCTATGTATATATGTCTATGTCTATGTCTATGTACATAATGTCTATGTCTATGTATATAATGTCTATGTCTATGTGTTATGTCTATGTATATTGTCTTTATATATTTTTGTACATATGTCTATGTATGTCTATGTACATAATGTCTATGTCTATGTATATATGTCTATGTCTATGTATATAATGTCTATGTATATATATGTCTATGTATATATATGTCTATGGGTGTACGGAGCAGCGGTGGTGACGTCAGACAATCAAGCCTGAGCAGCTTTGCGCGCTCCCGACGCCAACGATCACGAGCCGAATCTTCCGCCACATCCAGAGCAAGAACCAGGAAGTGAAAGTATACACATGGAGGGTGTGTCTTTCTCTGCCACTGAATGTTTTATTTTTAAAAACACAGTCCTCCTCGGATAAATAATGGGGGACTCGGCAAGGGCCAAGCGGCGGGAGCAGCTGAAGCGCTGGGCCGGCTCCTTCACCGACAAAGCGTCGGCCGTGGCCAGGCGGAGGTGGCGGGGCGAAGCCGAGAACGGAGCAGGGGAACCGGAGGCCGAGCTCAGCGACCCACCGACGGACCAGCCAGTGTCTGTGGGCAGAGATGAAACCAGCCCCCTCCTCAAACGACGGTAAGGAAACATCTCCTGTCAAACAGCTTCACTACATCGGCCAGCTAACAGCCAGCTAGCTTAGCTTAAACATCTGAGGAGATGCTAAAGGAGGAATGTTGTGCGTGGGCTTGGAGAGGGGGTGGACTAAATTACAGAAACATCTCACAATACATTACTCTAGCCCCCCAGCTGCTAAATAACATATACGGTTGATTGAAGCTCATAATGTGAGGTTTCTGTTGAAACTGTCAGTGGTCAATTGTCGTTTCTTAGGCCGTAGTTTGGAGTGTTTGTGTTAGCTAGCTAGCTAGTTAGCTAACAGCTTGGCTAATTCACTTTTCACCTGCATATATGTATAAACATATATATGTATGTATATATATATATGTATATACATATATATGTGTGTGTGTATATAATGCTTGTAGGGACTTACTGATATCATTTTGCAGTAATTGTTTTCAGCCAATGTACCAACAATATGGGCAGTGACCAACTCTTTAAGTTTACACATACACCTAATTGGTGTTCAGTTTGATAACATTATCTAAGAATAGAGTAGATGCCTTTATTGTCACTGTACACATGTACGATGAGATTAGAAAGCCAACTCCAATAGCAGTGCAAAAAGCAGTACAATTATCAAAATATATACAATATAAACATAGGACATAAAGTAATAGTACAAAAATATATTGCCCATTTATGGTATGGAATATTGCACATTGTATGATATTGCACAGTGGGTATGTATGTAGGTTTAACAGTGTTTAATAGTGTTTAATATATTTAATGTAATATTTTAGTACCTTTTGTTGCAGGTCCAATTGTCACAAATGTTGCAACAGTATGAATATCGGCGACAAAGAGTCAACATTTACGATGACACCAAGCTAAGAGTGGTCACAAGCTGACCCTCACCAACACTGAGTGATGACACTTAAAGGGACACTAGTGTGACAACACAAAAAACTATGGCTTCAGACCTGACCATGTTTAAATCTTGTGTTATTTCTTTCTCATTGTTAACAAATCCCACAAGGAAACCAAAACCACCAATCAACTGAACTTACAGCAAGTATTGCCTGTATATTCAAAGCTCGATCTAACTTATTTCTGTCCATACACTTCGACCATTGTCCAATTTTTTTTTAAGACACTGGCTTAATTAATCACTAGTGCACCAAGTCTACTGCTGACAATAGTCTCC